TCGGAAATGAAAATAATAAAAGACGATTTATTTCAATGTTAATGAGCAAACTTAAAGATGCGAACTTCACCGTTAAACAAGGTCACATTTCACCCAAAAAACGCTGATTGTCAATACGTTTATTGACACCTCATCTGTTGATTCGTAATCATCGGCGAAGATGTGGATTTTTTAGTTCTCTTGACAGCTCTTGCTCCAAATCGACATATATTTTATTAAACCGGGCAGAAGAAAAATCGAACAACAGGCGTACTCTACTTCAAAGCTGCTGTCACGAGAAATGGCGAAATTGTTTCTCCACGCATTTAATGGTTGTGATACCACGTCTGCTTTCTTTAACGAAGGCAAAATTAAATTTTTCAATACGTTGCGGAAGAATTCACATTTGGGAAACATTATACAAATTTTTAATAAACATGACGTTATGCTTGAAGATATAATCACTGGAGAACGTTTTCTTCTAGCAGTATATGGATGTACCGAAGATGAACACATGTCGTTAGATGCGCACAAGTACTGTTTCTTGAAATCTCGCCAATAATCGCACTTTCAATCTCGCGATGTTGCCTCGTACATCAGCATTCGCACAGCAACACTCATTGCGAACATATTATCAGTGGCATGGAAAGATAAATAATCCGGTAGAATGGGCAACGCCAAAATATTGGCCTTATTCCGATTGCTACGACTAAGAAACCAGCACCTACGGCGGACATATTTCAAATAATTTCTTGCAAGTGCAAAAAAAAAATGTTGGTCGCTTTACAGTTGCAAAAAGGCCGGCCTTAAATGTTCAGTAATTTGCTCATACTGTGATAGATCGTCGTGAGAATGCACAAGAAATTGCACGCGACGAAGACGACTTCAAAGAGTTTGACAATCCATACAATGATCTATACTTCATCAGCAATTGATTAATGTTATAATATTATTTATTAATTATATCATTACTGTTTACATTCATACGATATTATTGGGTATGGGAATAAGTTTCCACCAGTTTAAATGAAAAAGATGTGTTTATTTAAACAAATCTATATAAATGAGTTTATTCAAAGTATGCTCCTTCGGAAGCAATAACTTTCTCCCACCTTTCCGATAATAAACGGATTCCTCGAATGAAAAAATCTGGTTCTTTTGAAGCGATCTATTCATCAAGCCATTTTTTGATACCTTCATAAGAATTGAATCGTTCTCCAGAAAGGGCCGACTGCATGGATCGGAACAAATGGAAATCTGAAGGGACAATGTCCGGTAAATACGGCGGGTGGGGCAGAATTTCCCACTTTGCTCCTTCCAAGTATTTCTTGACCGATTTTGCAACGTGTGGTCTAGCGTTGTCATGTAACAGAATCAACTTGTTGTGCCTATTGTCCCATTCATCCGGTCGTTTTTCTTTCAAAGCTTGGTTTAAACGTATCAGTTGTAGCCGATAACGATTGCCAGTGATGGTTTTGGACGGTTTGAGCAGCTCATAATATATAATACCTCTTTGATCCCACCAGATGCACAACATAATCTTCGAAGCATGGATATTTCGTTTTGGCGTTGATGGGCCTGGCATCACCCATGCCTTCAAGCGTTTAGGGTTATCGTAGTAGATCCATTTTTCATCGCCAGTTATGATACGATGTAGAAAACCCTTTCTTTGTTGTCATTGACGAAGCATCTCTCAGATGACCAAACATCTTTCCATGTCTCTCTCTTTCAATTTGTATGGCCACCCAATTTCCTTCTTTTTGCACCATTCCCATTGCGTGTAGACGTTTTCGAACAGTGGATCTATCAACATTTAACTCTTTTGCCAACTATCGAGCGATAAAGAATCTTCTTCGAGGAATGCTTGCAATTCTGCATTTTCAAATTTTTTCACCTTCGCGTTCTTTGTCACGCACGTCAAAATCACTGTTGAATCGCCGAAACCACTCTTTACAATTAGTTTTCGATGGAGCATGCTCACCGTAAATATCTAGCAAACAATGCGTTTCCACAGCACTTTTCTTTAAAATAAAATAATGGAGTAAAACTTCCCGCAAATGTTGCTTTTTTGGAATAAATTCCGACATTTTCAACGCAAAAAAAGTTACTTTTTGTTACGCTTCGAACGAATGCCATCTATTGGGCTCAAAAGTTTGGACACACATCTTTCAAAAACATGTCTTGCCGTTCTATCAAACACACGAGCAATGCTACTAACGACATCTTTCTGCAATGGGCGGAAACTTATTCCCATACCCAATATATATATATTATATTTATTTTTATATTTAGGGTGTAATAATAAAACCATAAAATATACAATATTAAGGCTTATTTAATTCCTGCACATACTCCGTCAAAGCATGTTTTTTTTACCGCGCTTCGCTCTAGCTTCGAAATTTATTGCACAAAAAAACTTATAAGATATAATTTATAGAAAATTTACTCAGCTTTATTTTTGAAAATAACTATTTTTGCGGTAGGATGCGCTAAACGCGACATATTTCGAAGAAACTCCAAAAAGTACCATTTTTTCGCAATTTTTTCAATATGGTACTGCCGGTAAAAACAAGAGGTGACAAATCATTGATAATTCCGGACACCCAAAATTATGATCCTTTTAAATATAAAAACTGCATTCATTACGATCAAAAAATCTTTGGATACTGCGCTATTCCTTATTTTCCTAATTTAATATTTAATAGCGCCAAATTTTGTTGCAAAAAGCATTTTTTTTCATTAACAATTTTTTTATTTTATATTGTTATGTCCTTAATTCTTTGTGATGATCCTTGGATTGAATAAGATAACGCAATTTTGATGATATAACATTTTAAAGGAATATTTTAAAAATAGTTACTACCTCTCTCTCTCTCTCTCTCTCTCTCTCTCTCTCTCTCTTTCTCTCTGTCTCTCTCTCTGTCTCTCCCTCTCTCTGTCTCTCTCCCTCTCTCCCTTCTCTCCCCTCTCTCCTTCTCTCCCCTCTCTCCTTCTCTCCCTCCCTCTCTCTCCCTCTCTCCCCCTCTCTCCTCTCCCCTTCTCTCTCTCCCTTGACATGGAACAGGAAAAATTTGTACAGGTAGATAGCGAGTCCTATTTTTTAAATTAAGAGTTACAAAATCTTGGAGATTTTTAAAAGTAATTTTATATAATTAGTGCAACTAAAATGCTTTATATCATTTTTGAAAATACGCATACTTTTTGGAATTAAACTCGGCGTCAGTTATTGATATCAAATATTTTATAAATAAAAAATACAAATGGTATATGTGTCACTTGGGAAATGCTATTTTTATGGAATTATAACTTGGCGCTAATTTTTTATACCAAATCTTTTGTACAAATAATACATGCTACTTAAATCTTTTTAATTTGGTACTACAGTTTCTCGTTCGAGCAGCTTATCCATTTTTAACCTTTTTTGTACATATCTCTTGAATTTCTTTTTACGGTATAATGAGTTTTTGCTTCAGTAGTGCACATATATTTGACGCCTTCTTCGTTAATTTTTTTTAAATATTTGTAATTTTGTATTTGATTTTACTACTGGTATACATTTAAATTTTTTTTACAACAATTTTTGGTACAACAATTTTTCCATATAAAATCTTTTGTGCACCGCGTGTACTTAGCGTTTTTTCACCTTTTTTTAAAAGGTAATTTTTTTTATTGTTATCACGTCTTTTCTTAATAGTTTATCATTAATATTTCATTATTAACGTGAAGCAATAAAAATTTTAATATTTCACTATTGCTATTATTGTACCACTAACACATATTTAATTTACGTATATATGAATAGGTATTACTTTATAAATCATAACTTCATAATTCTGATCAAAAATAATTATATTATAGCCTTATCTTTCTTTATTTTTACGTTTTATATATATATATGCTCCATATTTACTTATACATATATATATATAAGGTGTCAAGAAAGTTTTTGCTTACTTTTATGTAGATAGAGCGGACTAAACTGAGTCGAAAAGTCCTGTATTATATTGCAATTTTCGCAATAGTTAGCAAGATATTATTTATTAAAAATTGCCAAATATTGGTCTTGAATAATTTTCTAAATACTATCAACTTTATAGAAAAGTTGCAAAAAACAAAAATCATTCATTTTCTTCACATAAAGTTCTGAAAATTTTTTCAAAATTTTTTTAATATCGTATTTTTTCATGTTGGTAAAAATAAAAAACCGCAGTACTAAAAAGTAGATAAAAAAATTCTGAAAAAATTCTTAGAGTTCTATGAGAAGAAAATAAATGATTTTTGTCTCTTGCAGCTTTTTTATAAAGTTGATATTATTTGAGTAAAAAATTATTAGGTGTTGGAATTAATTCGTAGCGTTTTTTAATGAAAGAATGTTATTTATTTCACATGAGCATTAAAAAATACATTAATGAAAGTACTTCCCATCACTTGTAAAACGCTACGAATTAATTCCAACACCTAATATTTAAGACCAATATTTGGCAATTTTTAGTAATTAATATCTTGTTAACTATTGCGAAAATTACAAAAAGGTAGAGGACTTTTCGACTCAGTTTAGTCCGCTCTATCTACACAAAAGCGATTGGGAAAAACTTTCGGGACATTCTGTACGCACGCACGCACGCACGCACGCACGCACGCACGCACAGGGTGCCTGTTAAGATAGGTCGGGGCCACATTGGAGGTGGAGAATGAATCAAAGGAAAATCAAAGGGAACAAAAAATTCTTATAGCATTTTGAGATACTCGTTGTAGTTTTCGAATTAGAAAAGAAAATGTCTAAGCCAATATGCGGTTAAGCCACGGCGCGCGAATTCGTAGGACGGCCCACACTCGAGTGGCAGCGGCGTCGACGCGCAGAGAGGTGGAAAAAGCGCTACGTCGCCGCTCTAGTGTGTATATTTATATTTATTAACTATCTGTTTTTATGTGTTTATATCTATTAAGTGATTATAAGAAAAATAATGAGTGTACTAAGCAAAGTAATGCGGAAATATGATTAAAATACCATACATTGGCAGTTGGAGAGTCAAATAAGCGAGACTAAACAAAAACATGTGGAGATATTAGATTACAAGAAGCGCTTGGATGATGCCGAAATAAAGTACCGTCAACATCAAAGTCTATTCGAAGCTGTCCGTGCGGAGCGGAATCTGTGCAATAGAAATTTGATAGAGACGCAGGAGGAGGTGCAAGATTTAAAGAGCAAACTGAAAATTACAAGCCAACAGACTGAGCAATTGAAAGAAGACATTGCGATGAAGGAAGCCAATCTTGTCAAAAAGGAATTTCGTAAGTCATTTCAATTTAATATCTTAAACTTTAATATATTAAACTCAGTTGATGCATCTTAAATTCAACTTGCTTATTTTAATTTTTAAATATAATGATATTATTTGTCATTTTTTATTGCAATTTACCAGAATTAAATTTTATTTTATTGTATTTACATAAACAAAATAAAGTAGAATTCAGTATTTTATGAACACTACAGGTAATATGATCATCCTTTATACTTCTGCAATGGTTGGTACTAGTAGTGCCAACTGTTGTAAAAAAGTGCTGTCTTCGCGACATTTCAATATTCCGCGAAGTAAATTCGAATTAAATTTATGTATTTCGGATATTTATCACATTAAATAAGCAGATACGTTACTTACTTACTTTTTACGTTTTTTTGCCCTTCCCAAATCTATATTAAGATAAGATATTTTGTTCTGCGTGTTAATATTTGTAAAGTAAACAATATTGAATCATTTTCTCATAAAGTCTCGAGATCATTATTGATTTATTAGACACGAGAGTTTTTCGAATAGATATGCATCATCGTTTATTATGAGCATGTCTATTATTCTACTAGCAATACGCAAGCAATATGCTAGAAATGGAAAGTCATAAAATATATTTTAAAGTAGAAAATTTCTGTAATATATTAGGTGTAGTAAAAAGAAATCCATTATTTTTCCAATAGATGGCTTTAGTAATCTGTATCCCGTCTACGCGTGATACAGATATTATTTAAACTCATTTTCGGAGCCGCTTATAGCGGACTTTGAATCCCCTTTAACGAATATTAAATTTTCTGAACGAATGATATTCATTTTAGTCAATAGGATACTATAACTTCTAACCGTGACTTTTTTTAAACTAATTGGATATCTAGATAATTTCCCTGGTGAGAGTTTAGGTAATTATGTGCTTTAAGGGACATCGCACCGATGACTTTGACCTTGACATATATTCAAGATCATGATTCTGAGTAACTTTGCCATAGGTGGCGGTCTCTTATAGCTTTTGAGATATTTACACTAAAGGTCTATTGATATAGGTATATATCTATTATTATAGGTAATTTGTGTAGTAAATCTTTCCATTAGAGAATAAACTTTGATGACATCAACCTTTGTTGAGAATATATACTTCTATTTACTTTTACTAACACTCCACTGACATTTAGTAGTATTGTGACCGCCAATGATGACACATCATGCATCTACACGAGTTTTTGAATATTTGATTAGAGCCACTCTTGAACGATCCCATCGGTCGCGGCACACCCTCCAGCCTTCGCTCTCGGGTCTTTTTCACCGAAATGGAATTATCGAAGCCGGTGATTAGGATCTCAATCTTTTTGCAAGGCCGAGATATCCTTATGCCCTTCTCGTCGCTTAAGGCGCGGCTAAGTTCAGTGGTCAGGGCATTAGCTTTTGCTGCTCCTCCCTCGCCAGAAATCTCATAAATAAGAGCCCCGGTGAGGGGCGGCTTTGAGACTGTCGGTACCAAGGCCTTTGAGAGTTAGCTTGCTTATAGCCTTGGCTGCGAAGTATTTGGGAGACATGTCATCAGGGAAACAGTCGCCGCCGTCGATAACGACGCTTTGTCTTCAACCTCCCCCCTCCTCAGCGCCTCCCTTGTCATCCCCGGGAGTCCTACCCTGCCTCCCTCCAAGGGTTTCCCCTTGGATGAGCTGGAAGCGAAAGGAGGTGAGAAAGTAAAGAAGAATGTACCAGAAGGTAAGAAGATTAGGAAACGAAGAAGCAAGGAGTCTATATTTAAGGTATAGTGATTGTGTGAAGGAATACAAGAAAAAGATTATGCAACAAAAGGAAAATGACTACAGGGAATTTGTTAGAAAGAGAATAGAGATTCGTAGTGTACAAAGTGTGCAGAGGGAAGAGAAAGATGGATGTGATGAATGTAGATGGAAGAATAGGTTGAGTGGGAAGAGACTATAAATGTCTTGCTGAATGAGTTTTTTCCGGATAGTATGATGCAAAGTGAGAATGAGTCGAGTGTGAGTTTTGGATGATGATAAGGAATTTGAGTGGGGTGAATTTAGCGTGCGATGTGGAGTATGTGTAGTGGAAAAGTGCCAGGAATGGATGGAATTACTGCGAAAATAGTCAAGTGTCTGATTGGCTGGCCCTGTGCAAATGAAAATGTTGTATGAATGTTTGCGAAGAAGAGTAGAGTAGTGGTTTTGTCCTGTTTGTGATAAAGTCCCCGGAAAAGATAAGGACGAATCTCAGGTAGGTCCGATATGCCTGTTGTCCGTTTTGAAAAAAGTTCTGGAACGGATGATGGTTGAGAAGCTACAAGTATGTATGAAAGCGAGAATACGAGTGAATGAGAAGCAGTATGGTTTTACACTGAGTAAGAGTGTAGATGATGCGTAGGTACATCTAAAGAAAAGTTTGAATGAGTTAGGGAAAAAGTATTGTCACGAGTGTTAATTGCATAAGTAACAATTGCGCCACGAACGTGCAAGAAATATAAATGATTAAATAAATAATTGCCAAAACCGATTTATTAAATATACTCAAAGTTACTTTGAAATAATTAATATAAAACAAGATCCTGAGCGAATATAAATTGTAAACTTGAGAAATGTGGACTCAGAAGTTGCGCGGAAGCTGTCCTCGTCCGATACACGGAACGCTGACCAATATGGAACGCTCAAGGATGAAAAATATAGAATATAAGCGCAACCGCGGACGCGGTCGTCGGTCAGAAATTTGAAAGAAACTTGTCGTATTACTTTGCTCATCGTAATTGTAGCTGTATCTACCGCGACGCGAATAGTGCTAAGAGGAATTGTAATAAAATAATCATTGATGTTACGTGTGAAGCTAAATATATTCTATTAAAAAAACTACAAGGTTGGCTAATCTCATCTCCCGAAATCCTTTGTGGATCGACGAACCGTGAAATATCGGCACAACAATTTGGTGGCAGCGGTGCGATCCACATAGCTGATCCAGGACCCGGGAGCGGCGACGGTAGCAGCAACAGCCTGTAAATAAGATGGATCAGTTAAAACAAGGGAGAAGTAGTTTAAGGCAGGAAGCAGCAACTAGATCCTCGTTTAAGGCGAGCACCGGTATAGCAGCCGACGACCAGGACGCAGATAGCAGCGTAATCCGAGAGGCGCGACCTACACAATGACTCAGCACACATCAGGCAACGAATAGTCAACAAGTAACATGCGATTAATCGCTTTAATATAAGTCCGAAAATCTTTATGCAATCATTGTAAACGGATAAATGTCCGGAAGCGAAAACAATCGCGACAGGCATAACGCACCGATACCTTTGCAAATACAGCCTGTACCAAAGTGTCCTAGAATTAGCCAAGTAAAATCGCCTGTGTGAATTGTCGAAGAATATGCGAGATATACGCGACAACGTGCGTCGTGTTGGAATTGCAATATTCAAGCGATAGCGCATCCGATTCGGAACTTCATCTGAATATTGTTATCGAGCGTGTATTCCCATTCGTGGATTTAGATTACACATACTATTAGGTGTTGGAATTAATTCGTAGCGTTTTACAAGTGATGGGAAGTACTTTCATTAATGTATTTTTTAATGCTCATGTGAAATAAATAACATTCTTTCATTAAAAAACGCTACGAATTAATTCCAACACCTAATACATTTACTAGCCGATAATAGGATAGAACAACGAGACAATTTCATACAAGAGTAATTTATTTGAAAACGCATGCACTAATTCGATACCAGGAGATTTGGCTATCATATCAACCGTCAACTTCGCGCGAAAATGGTGAGATCGCGAACAATCCGGTAGCGAACGCGGAAATAGAAGCAGAGATAGGTCTTAGAAATACTATAGGAGAACGCGCGAAGCATCAATTCAAAGTAAGCAAGAGGAAAAGCTCTTTTATCTAAATTAGGTAAAAAGCTGTTACAGGATGGAAGCAATTACAGGATTGCAAGATAGAATGAGCAGGATGAAAATTGCAAATTACGATTGCGAAAACTTCCGACTAGCGTACTCCGACGATAGAGTGCTAAACATCACTTACGGACGGACGCAAAATGATGTGCGGAAAGCAAGAAACGACCCGTGGGATATTTAAGATTAAAAGATGCACGGAATTTGATACCGGAAATAGACGGCCATTCGCGGCAGAAGATGCAGGAATTTATAAGCGCTAGCACCTATGCGATGGAGAAGATCAATTTCACGGAAAAATCAGCCTTGTTAGAAGAAATACTAAACACGAAACTGAAAGGAAAACTCCTATTAGACTTCTAAACTAAAAGCGTGACAGACTTCGAACAATTACGGCGAGAGATAGAAGCCAATTACTTGGGAAAACGCGGAAGATCACGTCTACAATTAGAATTTAACGCTTTAAAACAAAAGCCAGGCGAAAGCGTTCATACCTATGAACGACGCGTGGATACTTTAGCTATGGAGCTATACGAGTCGTTCGAGAAACGAGAAAATACAAATGAGCAAAAGCGAGTCATTTTTAGAAAAGATTCAGGATCAAGCTTTATTATAAATTTTGAATTAGGACTGCGCGAAGATATTAAATTAGTAGTACGAACACAAAAATATTCAAGCCTGCAAGAAGTTATCAATGCAGTAAGCGCGGAAGAACGTGTAAAAGGACCTACCCCACGAGCAAATAATAATGATCATAATAAATATGGTCAAAGCTAACACTAAAAAAATTCGAGTATACAGTGCAGCAAATGCGGAAAAGTAGGCCATTATGGGTGAGACTGTCGGTCAAGTCGTTACGCTAACAGATTTTCATTATCCCGAGCCGATAAACCAACAAGTATAAATGCTATCGAGAAATTTTGCACATATTGCAAAAAAACAGGACATAAAAGAAACAAGTGCTGGTCACTGAAACGGACGGCCCGATAGAGAACCGAAGCAACACACGAAGCGATCGTAAGACGAAGGGTATAAACATTGCTGATATAAGACGAAATAAGCGACAAAACGAAAGCGAAGAATCCTCGTACGC